GCGCGCGTGACGGACAGCTGCCTCCGCGAGCGTCGTTGGCAGCACACCGCATGCCAGGGCGGTGCCACCTGGGGCCCAGGCAGTACGACTCGCCCCCGCAGGCAGAGTGACTGCGCTGGCGGAAGAGGCGCAATGACATAAACATAAAAACGCGGAGGTCCGCGCAGATTGCTCGGATCGGCGCTTGACCCCGCGGCGCCGGAGGCGCCGCCAGGGGGGTCCAGCGCGGCTCCGAGAAATCCGCGCGGACCTCCGAATTTTTATGTTCATGTCATTGTTCGTTCCCCCACTTCGGCAAGGGGAAGTCTTCGCCCTGTGCTTTCCCAGACATGCGACGTCCTGATTTGTTCAGTGCGGCGTCCCGGAAGTCCAGACCGTTTCCCCGGGGCAGGTCTGCCATCCAGCGTCGTTCCCTGAGGGCCCCGGGGCCCAGCGAAGGCCCCCGAGGGCCAAACATAGTGAGGAGAAAAAGCTTGCCGTCCTGCTTTTTGTACGACGCGATCATGTCTGGGCTCCACACCCTCGGTGTCTGCGTCGGCCCCCGAAGGGCGTCGCAGCGGCCGGAGTGCCCGGGCCGCAGGGCGGCCTGGCCGCCACGAGCCGTGCGGGGCAGCGTCGGTGTGGGTCGGGTGCGCGGCCTGGCTGCTGCCCAAGTCCTCCTCCTCCTCCTCCCCTTCCTCCTCCTCCTCCTCCAACTCCCTCCTCCTCCCCTCCTCCTCCTCTCCTCCTCCTCCTCCCTCCTCCTCCCCTCCTCCTCCCTCCTCCTCCTCCTCCTCCTCTGCTCCTCCTCCTCCTCCTCCTCCTCCTCCTCCTCCTCCTCCTCCTCCTCCTCCTCCTCGTGGTCGTGGTGCTCGCCAGCGTGGGCGAGCGAGCTCGTCGTCCTTCCGCGGGCGGTGGCCGCTCTGATGATCCAGGGCACTCCCTGCTGAAACTGCCAGGCGTAGGCAGGCCCCGGTGTTTGGCCTCTGGGCCCCACGCTTGCCGAAACCATCGCATGTCTTCTATGTCCTCTCCCGTGTGCTGATATTCCGTGGCCAGGTTGCTGGAATGGGGGGCACTTCTTTGGCTTCCGGCATTTTGCGCGGGTACGCGGTTTGTCTGCTTGTGTTGGGTCACTAGTGTCGCGTTTCTGCTCGTTGCCATGGGCGATGGGGCTATATGTATACACATAAAGCTATAGGGCTTTAGGGCAATAGGGCTATAAGGATATAGCGCTATAAGGCAATAAGTCTATAGGCCTAGAAGGGCAATTAGGCTCTAGGGCTATAGGGCGATTGGGCTATGGGGCTATAGGGCTATAGGGCTATGGGGCTATACGGCTATAGGGCTATAGGGATATGGGGATATAGGGCTATAGGGCGATAGTGCTACAGGAGTATGGGGCTATACGGCCATAGGGTTATGGGGCTATGGGGCTATGGGGCTATGAGGCTATAGGGCTAGAGGGCTATGGGGCTATAGGGCTATATGGCGATATGGCTATAGGGCTATGAGGCTATAGGGCTATAGGGCGATAGGGCTATAGGGCTATAGGGCTATAAGGCTATTAGGGCTATTAGGGCTATTAGGGATATAGGGCTGTAGGGCTATAGGGCTATAGGGCTATTAGGGCCATAAGGCTATAGGGCCATAGGGCTATGGGGCTGTAAGGCTACCAGGCACCCGGGCCAGCCACCGAAATCGGCGACGCACCTCACCTAACCATATGAATCCGCTAGGACCCCTACACAGGCAACCTCTGATTAGGGAATTAATATTATTAGCAGTAGTCCTGTTATTGTTGTCATTGTTTCTGATGCTACTAGTGTTAGCCTGATTATTAATATTAATGCTATTGGTATGATTAGTTGTAGTATTGGTTTACTAATACTACTATTATTACTGTTACTTTTAGCACTCGTATTACTATTGTTGTTGCGGTCACTCCGCTGTGAGCATTCGGGTCCCTCGGTAGCTGCCTCGTCCGAGTGGTCTGGCCCGTCTATGCGGATTGTCGTGGTCGGTGGGCTGGCAGGCGGGTTGGCGAGGTCTGGGTTGGCTGGCCTTGTTCGCAACTTCCAGCTCGGATCTGTCTGGTGAGATTACGGTGACGGCTGTGCGCTGTCTTCGTGATCGGTAATGGCTTCTCGTGTGAAGTAGTTGATGGACTCTTCCATGCGGGCGAGTGAAGGCTTGGTTGGTGGGAATGCTATGCTGATGCCTGGCGTTTCTGGGGAAACTGTGTGGTATCTTGGCATCTCCCGCTGTGTTACGCGCGTTGGGTTTATGTCTCTGGTGTGCGTCTTTGCCTTGTTCGTGGTTTGCTCACTCATGGTATGGTGGATGGATGGGGGCGCTTTGTATCTCGTTGGCGGTGCCCGTCCCGTTGTTGCTTGTTCGCGTGTAGCTGGTGTCGGCACTGGTGCACTGTGATGCTTTTGGTCGTAGTGGTAATGCTGCAGTGGCACTCCAGGAGGTCCTGGTATACATGGCTGGTCATATGATCGGACGGCACTGTACATGTCCCGTCAATCTCCATGTTAACCAACCACGTCCCAGTCATAGCAGTGCCGGGAGACAATATCGTTGCCCTGGCATCTGTCGCAGAAGCCTCCGCTGAGATTGCCATCATCGCACCATCGGTCTAAAGACTCCTGCAAATGGCCCATGTTTGGTCGCGCCTCGTGACTTCCGTGTGGTGCGCGTCGGGGCCCGTCGTGGCAGGCGACTGCTGTTTGGTGTGGTCGTTGCTCGAGCCAGAATGGTCGCCGAATGATTGGGTTGCATTGAGGTTGGTCGTGTTTGCTACCGCAGCTGCAGCTGTCGCCGTGGGCTGTGGTGTGCTGGTCTATGATCATTCGTTTTCGTTGAGTCTCTCTAGGGCGTGTCCGACTGTTGGTCCGTTTGGTGGCATGTCTCTGAGAATGTCTGGCACTAGATGGGCAGAGTCTAGCAGTGGTGGTCCTACTCAGATGAATCACATTCCCATGGAATGGTGGTACCCCCCTCCTTCGCATCCTCCTCGCCTCATCATCGTAAGCAAAATCCTCCTCCATCTCCTCCTCCTCCTCCTCCTCCTCCTCCTCCTCCTCCTACTCCTACTCCTGCTCCTCCTCCTCCTCCTCATCCTCCTCGTCATCATCGTCATCATCATCATCATCATCATCATCATCATCATCATCATCATCATCATCATCATCATCATCATCATCATCATCATCATCCTCGTCATCATCAACGTCATCATCATCATCATCATCATCATCATCATCATCATCATCATCATCAGCATCAGCATCATCATCATCACCATCATCATCATCATCAGCATCATCATCATCATCATCATCAGCAGGAGCAGCATCATAATCATCATCACCATCATCATCGTCATCATCATCATCGTCATCATCATCATCCTCATCATCATCATCATCATGGTCATCCTCATCATCATCCGCAGCAGCAGCATCACGATCATCATATTCAACATCACTTTCATCAGCACCACCATGAGCATCACCACCATCATCGGCAGTATCATCATCGTCGTCGTCATCAGCATCCTCACCAGCATCAGCATCATCATCAGCATCATCATTACCACCACCAACAACAGGATCATCATCTAAACCACCACCACTATCACCACCATCATCATCATGAACATCATCATCACCATCATCATCACCACCACCAACAACACTATCATCATCACCACCACTGCCACAACCACCATGATCATCATCATAATCATCATTGTCATCCTCATTACCATCCTCATCATCAGCATCAGCATCATCAGCATCATCATCATCATCATCATCATCATCATCATCATCATCATCTTCATCATCATCATCATCAGAAGCAGCAGCGCCATCAGCATCGTTATCATCGTCATCATCATCATCATCCTCCTCATCATCACCACCACCATCATCGTCATCATCATCATCAATAGCAGCAGCAGCATCATCATCATCATCAGCATCATCATCATCATCATCATCACCACCACCACCACCACCACCATCATCATCATCATCATGAAGCATCATCATCATCATCAGCATTATCATCATCATCATCATCATCATCATCATCATCATCATCATCACCATCATCATCATCATCATCATCATCATCATCATCATCATCATCATCATCGTCAACAATGTCATCAATAGCAGCAGCAGCAGCAGCAGCATTATCATTACCGCCACGACAACAACCACCACCGTCCTAATCCTCCTGCTTTGCTCCTGTCCCCCTCTCCGTCCATGTTCCTTATGAGTGACTCCTCCCCCTGTCGCACCCCCACACGTGTCCGTCGGGTTGACCGGGCGTTTCGAGACTTCCAAACCATGTAGTATCCTGAAGCTTGAAATGTGTAACAGCTTCGAGGATGGAGGGCGGGTCGCTTTCAAAATGTGGCTGTCGTCTTAGCGCCGCGGGCATTCGCCTCAAAGGTTTGCAACATTATCATGGACGTAAAGCAAATCATTTTCAAAATGTGCCTCTCGCCTCAGCGCCAAGCATATTCGTCTTAGAAGTTCGCAGCAGTTCCAAGGATTCGAACAGTTGACGCAACAATCACGTGGATTCGCTGCGTTGATGTCCCGAGAGTGGTGTTCTGGCACGAGTTAGGAAGATGTGAATGAAAGGACGCAACAGTAATGTTGACTCGCGGCACTGAAGTCACAGGAATCGTGTTTGGCACGATTGAAGATTCTCAAACGGCTGCCTTCCAGCGAGGCACCTCCCGCAATTAAAATGAATTGTTGTAGGGACCTATGAACAGGGAACTTGGAGGGAGGGTGTATTGCAACATCGTTGGTGTGTCTTGGGTGTACACTGGTCCCTCCTCCTCCTCATCCTCCTCCTGCTTTGCTCCTCCTTCCCCCTCGTCTCCTCCTCCTCCTCCTCCTCCTCCTCCTCCTCCTCCTTCTTCACCCGCCCCTCCCCTTTCACCCGCTCCTCTTGCTCCCCATCCTCCCCCCTCCCCTCCCCCACGCGACCATGGTCTCCCCCTCGGAGCTCCGCGTCACCAGCGCGCCAGCCGCGGCGCGCTTCTGGCCGTCCGCGTCCTGGCGCTTCCTGGCGTCCGGCTCCCCCTTCGCCTGCCGGCCGAGAGGCTGGGCCCAGCCCACTGTGGTGAGCGTTTTCTTAGTCGTCGTTTCGACATTAGGCGGAAGGGGGGGAGGAGGGCAGGGGTCTGGCTCCGGACCTCTGATTAGCGCGGCTGTTTGCAACCGTGCGTCCTCTGGGGGAGACTCCCCCTGCTCGAGGAACAGACGTCCACAACAGCCAAGGTCTACTCCACGGGGGGGGGGTGCGAGGGCACGCGCCGATCGGCAAAATAGGGATTCAAAAAACTATCACCTGGCGTTAGGTTGGGCATGTCCTATTACGTCAGGTTCGTGTCGTGCCGACCTCGGCGTTGGTTTCTGACACCGCGGGGATCGTTCAACCTTGACCGATCGGCCATTTCCGAAACGTCCGAATCGTTCCACATCGAACGATACTGGGTCTCCAGCGGCGTTCAAAGTTAAACGCCGCTGGCCTGGATCAGAAGACTACCCCACGGGCATGGGTCGAAGGATCTGCGGCCCGCAGATAGAAAAGCACAAAAAAACTGGCACCCCAGCCCCGACGCCGCTGGAGCAGCAGCAGCAGCAGCACCAGCACCGGCTGCCTTCGCCGTTCTCAACGCTTCTGGGCAGTCGCCCACGGATTCGGCAAGATCTGAAGGTCTTTCAGACCTCTCCTCCTCCCCCCTCCTCCTCCTCCTCCTCCTCCTCCTCCTCCTCCTCCTCCTCCTCCTCCTCCTCCTCCTCACTCCTCCTCCTCCTCCTCCTCCTCCTCCTCCTCCTCCTCTCCTCCTCCTCCTCCTCCTCCTCCTCCTCCTCCTCCTCCCCTCCTCCTCCTCCTCCTCCTCCTCCTCCTCCTCCTCCTTCCTCCTCCTCCACCCCCCCTCCACCTCCCTCCTTCCCCCTCCTCCTCCCCCCCCTCCAACGCCGCGGCTCACCGGCGGCGCCAGGTCTGGCAGCTCCGGCAGAGTGGCCTCCGGCAGGGAAAACAGGGACGCCTCCTCGGAGAGCGTGGCTATCTTGGCGCGGAGCTCCTGCGGAGACAGGGCGGCGCCGGGTGGGCGAAGATGCAGCGACGGGCGGGCCCCAGCTGGGGCGGACAGGCGGACAGACACACCTGGGATGGACGGCGCGCCCCAGCGCCAGACTCGGTGCTCAAAACTGCCGACCTCGTCCTGGCAACCCTCCTCCTCCTCCTCCTCCTCCTCCTCCTCCTCCTCCTCCTCCTCCTCCTCCCCTCCTTCTCCTCCATCCTCCGTCATTCATCATCCATCACACCATTCATCATCATCATCATCATCATCATCATCATCTCATCATCATCATCATCATCATCATCATCATCATCATCATCATCATCATCATCATCATCAGCATCAGCAACAGCATCAGCATCAGCATCAGCATCAGCATCAGCATCAGCATCAGCATCAGCATCAGCATCAGCCTCATCCTCATCCTCATCCTCATCCTCATCCTCATCCTCATCCTCATCCTCATCCTCATCCTCATCAGCAGCAGCAGCATCATCATCATCATCATCAATATCAACATCAACATCAACATCGTCATCATCAGAATCATCATCATTATCATTATCAGCAGCAACAACAGCAGCATGAGCAGCATCAGAATCAGCATCGGCATCACCGCCATCCGCATCATCATCAACATCATCAGAATCACCATCATCATTATGATCATCCTCGTCAGTATCATCATCATCATCATCATCATCATCATCATCATCATCATCATCATCATCATCATCATTAACATTATCATCATCGTCGTCGTCGCCGTCGACGTCGTCGGCATCAACAACATCAGCATCATCATCGTCGTCGACAGCATCACCATCATCATCAACAACATCAGCATCATAATAGTAATGATCATAACAATAATCATCATCATCAGCATCACCATCATAAGCATCATCACCATGATCATCATCGGAATCGCCATCGCCATCACCATCGTCTTCGTCATCATAATCATCATCACCATGATCATCATCAGCATCATCATCAGCATCATCATCGACATCATCATCATCATCATCATCATCATCATCATCATCATCATCATCATCATCATCATCATCATCATCATCTGCATGATCGTGATCAGTATCAAGAACATCATCATCAGCAGCGTCATCATCACCATCTTCAATATCAGCAGCATCGTCATCAGCATCATCAGAAACAGCAGCAGCACATCATCATCAGCAGCATCAGCATCAGCATCAGCATCAGCACCCTCACCATTATCGTCATCACCATCGTCATCGTCATCGTCATCGTCGTCGTCATCATCGTCGTCGTCGTCGGCATCAACATCATCATCATCATCATCATCATCATCATCCTCATCAGCATCATCATCATCAGCATCATCATCATCATCCTTATCGTCACCATCATCGTCATCGTCATCGTCATCGTCTTTATCACAATCGTCATCGGCATCGTATTGCATCATCGTCATCATCAGCAGCATCATCATCATCTTTACCATTATCACCTCCATCACTGCTCATCATCATCACCACTACCACCATCATTATCATCATGATCAGCATCATTGTTATCATCATCATCATCGTCATCATCATCCTCATCTTCATAATCAGCAGCAGCATAATCGACGGCATCATCCTCATCATCCTCATCTCTCCTCCAACCCTCCATCAACACATCTCCTTGGACAATCAGGGGCACCCTTCCCCTCGCGCACTATCATGAGAGCAGGCCATCAATAAAGTGAGAATGGCGAATATTACCCTGTAACGTACCCAACCAATTTGCATAAGGTGAACGAAAAGAAGACACAAATGTGTATGGTCAACGACAGTGCAGGCGCCGTCATTCGTTGTGCGAGCTACATGAAATGTGCGCACGTTACACGACTCACTGGAAAGCGATAGAAAGACGAGTGGTGAGGCTCCAGGCTAGAAGAGCAACGGGCTAGCTCAACTCGAACCCTGCTGGATGCATCCCACCCACCCCAGACCAGAAACCTAGATCACTCATCTCGCAGGCCTAGAGGTTGACACCAACAGCAATATCGGTGGGTGTGCTTCCACCGAGGGAAGAAGATCCCGATCTTGGCGATGGTGGCAATATTCTGGCTTCCAAGGTGACCGAAATATTACCACCAACACCGAAATCGAGGATCACCTTCCCCCTGTGAACGCAAGCCCCTGTGTTGGTGTTGGTGCCAAATTTCCAGGCCTCCAATCATCGGCGATGGGGCGGCGATGATCGGCTGCGCCAGCGATCTGGAGGAGGAGGAGGAGGAGGAGGAGGAGGAGGAGGAGGAGGAGGAGGGGGAAGAGGGGGAAGAGGAGGAGAGGGGGAGGAGGAGGAGGAGGAGGAGGAGGAGCGAGGAGGAGTAGGAAGATCGAGGAGGAGCGAGGAGGAACGCGGCTGGGACGCGTCGGGACGCCCCCGGGAGAGCTTCGGTCCCCCGACGCCCTCGGCGGCCGAGGGAGCGACAGTCGAGCCCGCAGGTCGACCTCTGTGGGAGCGCCTGGGAGCGCCTCGGAGCGCTCGGACGAAGGGGCCCCAGGACACACAAACCAAATAAAAAAATCCCCACATCTTCAAATATTTTCTGGGCTGTTGGCTTCCCCCCCACTTCCCCTGCTTTCCCCCCACTTCTCCTGGGACTGGACGATGGATTGTGTCTGCGTGTGTGTGTTTGTTCCCTCCTGACTGGGGGCGCTCGGGGAGGAGCGCCCAAGGGCGCGCGGCGGCGCCCGGGAGGAGCGCCCGGGAGCGCCTCGGAAGCACTCAGGGGGCGCCGGGGAAGCGCCTTGGGAGCGCGCCGGGAGCCACAGCGCCTTTTTGCGGCCCCGCACCGAAGCTCGCACGGGAGAGCGGATCCTCCTCCTCCTCCTCCTCCTCCTCCTCCTCCTCCTCCGCCTCCTCCTCCTCCTCCTCCTCCTCCGCCTCCTCCTCCTCCTCCTCCTCCTCCTCCTCCTCCTCCTCCTCCTCCTCCTCACTCCTCCCCCTCCCGCTCCCCCTCCTTCTCCTCCTCCTCCTCCTTATCCACGCGTGTATGCACGCGTCGCTGCTTCCCTGGGGAAACGGGGAAAAAATATACACCACACCACCCCGACGTCCTTCTCGGCCCTCGAAGAAGTCCTGGGATTCAAGAACAGCCCGCCACTGGCAACTGTATACGTTCCAGTTTCCGATGAAAGTCAGCCGATATGCACCGCATGGTATCTGTTGCAGGGGCTAATAAGTGATCCAAGGTGGCGTGTGCAGAAGCGTACTTGTTGCCTGGCTTGGAAGAGCGGCGCAGTCGACAGGCACAGAAAAGCTTACATGTTGCGTCGGATCCAGGGGGCGCGGAAGGGAGCACGGAAGGGGCGACTCGAGATGGCGTCGAAGGGACTGGAAAAGTGTATAGCTTCAACAACTACAGGTTCTTAACTCTTAAGGCTTAAGGTAAGGGGTGATCAGCTCGGAAAATGGCGACAGCTCGCAGACCCCCAGCGCCCCTCGAGAGTCGCGACAGCCTCGCAATTCGCAGCCCCCCATGGACCGCGAGGTCTAACCTGAGTCTGCGGTAAAGGCGTCGGGACTCTGGACTCTCCGGCAGCCTTCGACAGTGGCGACGGGTTCGCGGTTCGCAGCGACCCGCGGGATGGCGAGGTCAAATCTGAATAGTGATGCGTGCCGCGTCACTCCGCTTACCCCCCCCCCATCAGCTCTCTAAAGTGGCGACAGATTCGCAGTTCGCAGCCCATCAGGGATGTTCGTCTGCGGTAAGCCGGACCCCCCAGCCGCCCTCGAAAGTGGAGACCGTTTCGCATTCCGCAAATCTGAGTCTGCGGTGAAGGCGTCGCTCCGCTGGACTCCCCAGCAGCCTTGAGAAGTAGCGGCAGTTTTGCAGTTCGCAGCCCCCCAAGGATGGCGATGTCTAGTCTGAATCCAAGTAAGACGACACTCCGCTGGACCCTCCAGCACCCCTCAAAAGTGGCGACAATGTTTCGCCCAGGGCTGGAGAGTTCGACTGTGAAGCTGCGCAGCACGTCACTCCGCTGGACCCCCCGCAGCCCTCGAAAGTGGCGACAAATTCGCAGTTCGCAGCCCTAATCTGCGTAAGGTCTAATCTGCGATAAGTCTGCTGGACCTCCCAACGCCCCTCAAAAGTAGCGACGGGTTCGCATTTCGCAGACCCCCAAGAATGGCGAAGTCTGACCTGAGTCTGCGGTAAGGCGTCAGCCCGCTGGACCCTCCAGCAGCCCTCGAAAGTGTCTACATTGTGGCAATTCGCAGCGACGCCCCCCCAGAGTGGCGAGGTCTAATCTGAGTCTGCGGTAGCACTTCACTCCGCTGGACCCCCCAGCAGCCCTCGAAAGTGGTGGCAGCAGTTTCGCAGTACGCAGCCCCCCTCGGGATGGCGAGGTCTAATCTGACTATGCGTGGCGCGTTACTCCGCTGGACCTCACAAAGCCCTCGAAAGTGGCAACAGCGTCGCAGTTCGCAGCAGAAAAGGCTAGACCTGATCGAATATGAGCCCGCATAGCACATCACTCCGCTGGACCGCCAGCAGCCCTTGAAAGTGGCGACAGGTTCGCAGACCGCAGCCACACCCCAAGGGATGGCGAAGGCGAATCTGAATCCGCGGTAGCACGTCACTCGGTTGGACCCCCCCGCAGCCCTCGAAAGTGGCGACACTGTCGCGGTTCGCAGCCCTCCAAGGGTGGCGAGGTCGAATATGACTCTGCGTAGCACGCCACGCCGCTGCACCCCCAAGCAGCCTTCGGAAGTGGCGACGGGTTCGCAGCTCGCAGCCCGCACCCCCCCCTGGGATGGCGAGGTCTAATATGAGTCTGCGTAGCACGTCACTCCGCTGGCCCCCCAGCAGCCCTCGAAAGTGGCGACAGGTTCGCACTTCGCAAGCAGGCAGGGCTGGCGAGGTCGAACCTGCCCCTGCGTAGCACGTCACTCCGCTGACCCCCCGGCTGCCCTCGAAAGTGGCGACAGCGTCGCAGTCCGCAGCACCCCAGGAATGGCGAGGTCTACTCTGGGTCTGCGTAACGTCACTCCGCTGGACCCTACCCCCCGGCAGCCCTCGAAAGTGACAACACCATCGGAGTCCGCAACCCCCCAAGAATGGCGATATCTAATATGAGTCTGCGCAGCACGCCACTCCGCTGACCACCCTCCAGCAGCCCTCGAAAGTGGCTACGGTGTCGCACTTCGTAGCCCCCCAGGGACGTCGATGCCTAACCTGAGTCTGCGTAGCACGTCGCCCCCCAGTGATGGCGAGGTTGAATCTGAATATGCGTGGCGCGTCACTGTGCTGGACATCCCAGCAGTTTTCGAAAGTGGCGACGAGTTCGCAGTTCGCAGCCCCCCCCGGGATGACGAGGTCTGATCTGAGCCTGCGGTAGAGCGTCACTCCGCTGGAACCCCCAAGCAGCCCTCGAAAGTGGCGACAGTGTGGCAGTCCGCAGCCCCACAAGATGACGAGGTCAAACTTTCGCTGGCGTGGCACGTCACTCCGCTGGACCCCCCAGCCGACCTTTCAATGGGGCGACAGCTCCGCGGTCCGCAGCCCCCCAGGGATGGCGAGGGCGAAGATGAGTTTGCGTAGCACGTCACTCCGCTGGGGACCAACCCCCCCAGCAGCAGCCGAAAGTGGTGACGGCTTCGCAGCTGGCAGCCCCAGGGATGGCGATGTCGAATCCGAGTCGGCGGTGAAACGCCACTCCGCTGGACCCCCCGCCAGCCTTCGGAACAGGAGGCAGGGTAGCAGGCCGCTGGCAAAGGGAGAGGAGGCAGGAGGCGATGGTGGCCCAAACAAGGAAAGGTCAACCACTGCGACATCAGGAGATCCAACGCGCACCGAACACCCTGATCCCGAATGCAGCAGCTGCGATGATTACCAGCGATGCCTCGAAAACGAAGGCGAAACCCATTACTCTGGCCTCAACAACAAGCAAGAAGACAAACACCCGAGCCTTAATATCGCACGGCATTCGGTACTTGTCTGCTGCAACCTCTCCCACTCTGGGCACAACCAGCGACAGTTCCAGCTCAACGGCTTCTCCACCCGCTGCGTTTTCCCCAGCCGCTGCGAGTCCATCTGCAGTGAGCACCGCCAGCGGAAAGTGCAGCACGGCCAGGGGGCGGGGAGGAGGGGGGGGTGTCCAGCAGGGCGGGGGGGGGGTCGAGGGGGGGGGGGAACCCCGGGTTCCGGAGGAAGAGGGGGGGAACGTTCCACAGTAAAGCGACGGTGGGTCACGCTCTCTCCAACATCAAGCAAAGGCGAAGCCTCGTATAACAAAAAAACAATGTTACATGTGAACGAACATACGTCCTTGCCGTCCACGGCCAACTCCGCGCACGAGACCTCCGCCAGAGACCCCTCCTCGTCAAGCGTATAGCTCAGGCCGAGGAT